AAAAGGCAGAGAAAATTAAAGACTTCTGAGGCAACTTAAGTAGCGGTGGTGCTGCGAGAAAATTACTTGAATATGATAAAACACATTAAAAAACTGTATTCAAACACTGACAGGAAAATATTATTCATATATGAAATTTCTTAACGCTTTACTTATCAGTTTACAATATGAATGATTCTAATATAGGTAACTTGTGAAATTTATCATACAATCCTGAACTTACTTATGAGCATAACCAGATATGTTTGTAATGCAAGTGCCCGAATTCAAAGCCTGATTTGAAGAATATATTGTTGGAGCAGTTAGGAAGCCTATATTATCGAAAGATGGGAACAAAATTAAATTACATTCGATCCCAACCACATACCAAAAGAAAATTAATTAGTATTACCATCAGAGTTTATGGGCAAGCTGGTGGGAATAGTTGCCTGACAATTATGCGATTTTGACAATCTTGATTCAAAAGAGTTACGCCTATTTTTATCAATATCTATGAAGCCCGGGCAACCATTATTTAAATTTTCTTCAAACACGAAAGAGGCCTCCAGAAGTGATGAATTATTTGATTTAGTAGTTATAGGAATAACACATCCAGGTCGATCCAGCGTAGGAAAATAACAGCCACTGGTAACAATCTTAGAAGAAAATCCATTTGCTGTTAATACAGCTGGAAAATGTAAGGTATTGCTTGAGAAGCTCGAATTTACGGGCCCATTTGAATCATTAAATCGAAAAAAATCACCAGAATTTGATGTAAACGCATCAGGTGATACAGACGTATTGACACTACTTAATGGTCCAGGGGAAGATGTAGTAGGATCAAAGTTGTGAACAGCATCAAGATAACCACTAGTTCCAGATACAGAGGGGTTTCCTGACTGCGTGGGAGGATTTGTAGGATTGGTTGTCTGTCCGGCTTGGAGGATGCGATTTGCAAGATTTGACTCGTGGGATTTCGAGCGATGTAAAGGAAAACTCAGCTTAAGCCGATGCTTTGGAGGAGGCGTACCAGGCTGGCGAGAATAATGGTGATGATGGTCTTTGTCACGATCTTTATCCCTGGAAGAGAATGGATGGTGGTGCACATGCAACTGCGGATTAGTCATTTGAAGAGTGTTTGGGTGAGGATGGAAGAAATTAGTGTGCGAGCGCCGGCCATATGGAGATGAAGGTGGAGTAGAATCACCATTTACGGCAGAAGGATAGTCACCAGCTATATAAGAGGAAGTCATATTGCTGCTGTGTCCCTTCCACGCTGGAGTTGTGGGAACAGAGAGGCCACCACACATGTAAATCCCAGCAATATTGAGAGAGTGAGGAATCTCATCTTGTGTACGGTAAGAAGTTGGGGCTAGTGATGTGGCTCGTTTCGATAATGTTGTTGCAATAGCAGCGATTTCTTGAGAAAGCTTGTTGTGAGAACTAGTAGATACAACAATTTCAGAGACATCAGGAAAAAAATGGTCATTAGGAGTGTTGACACTAAAATCTACTTCGCTATGGTTACTTTTAGGCGATTCCTTGGACTGAGAGCGATTGTTGGTTAAATAAATCTCATGCTGATGCCAATAATTTGCGCTCTCAACATTTGGTCGGTCACTTAACTGTCCAGATATACAAGTTGCCTGAGGACCGCTTACGTAGAGAGATGGGCCGTGACTGTGGGGTGCTTCATTCTGAATAATAATAGATGGAAGTGTAGC